CTGCGAACTGGTTTAATTTGGGCAAAAAATTCAAGAGACATTTTTTTTTAGAATGAAACAGGCTATCGGAAATAATTTTTTAAATGGTAAAAAAATAATAAGACAAAAAATTACGTTGGAAATAAATTTTAGGGGTTGCGTTTTCCACCCCTTACAACCATGGGGTAAACCAAATAAATTACTGGCTAAGTGTCTTTTTGGTAGTAGAAAATGTCAGGTTAATTTCAATATTGTAACTTGTTTAGTGCTTGTGAAAAAAATTGTTAAACAAATTTTATGTACCCCCTTTAAGGGGCTGTATCTTAACAAGGGATGCTCCAATGAAGTTTCTTTATATGAAAGATCCTATCTTTTTTTCGATGAGGAATCACCCCCTTAAATGTTTTACACTTATTTAGTTACACCCTGTATATTGAAGGCGTCGTATCGGAAGGGCGTAAGAGCCACTATAATCGGTTTTGGGTTTTTAGGGTGTATGCCTCATTGAATCAATTCGCTTAATAAGGGCGTATATATTCATAAACATCGACACTCTATTCTAACGCATTTTACATTATTCTAACGCAGTTATGAAACAATTTTGCAAAACTATAATATCAGAAAGGCGTATGCCTGTAAAATTTCAGATTTGGTTTGTACGCCCTTCTGATATGACGCTCTCGATATGTTTTAACTTAAAAATAGAATTTCAAAAAAATCTGGAACCAAAAAACATTAATTTCTTTTTATATAATATTCAAAATTGATAGACCTAGGATCTATATTGCATAAGACTTTCGTGTTTATTCTATAATATTCAATAATACAGGGTACATGGTTATTAATTAAGCACAAACAAGAAAATGTGCGAAGATAAAAGAAGAAGAAGAATAACTCTTTAAAACTTGTCAAGGCACTTAATTAATACCCTGTAGGTATATCGAACAAATGGTACTTATACCGAGCACACCCTGTATTTCAGAACATTAATCTTAAAATAAGGACCAACGTACCTTCGTTAATATGTACGTCAGTCTCCCATACAGTCCGTCTTTAATGTCCCTCTCCACAGTCCTCCTGTTCCTCCTGATCTCGGATATGGTCAGAAACAGCAGTAACGGCCATGACATGACGCACATCACACTATAATGATATCCCTGTCTATCATTCAAAGTCAGTTGCGAGTCCGAATTGGGAACGTCCCAAAATATTGCACCGATAATTAAAGATAAACTGGCGGACACTATTATTAACGTCAGCCAGTTTAAAAACGTGTTTGGTTGGGTGTAAAACATGGCTTTCCTGAAACCGATTTACGTGAACTTAAGAGAACATTAGTTTTCCGTGTAACTTACGTGAACAAAACGAAGCCCTGCACGAAACAATTCGAGTTCTTGACCGTCATGGGTAAGGTCGACGGGGGACCGGGATCGCTCATCGGTTCCTGCTTTTTCCTGAAGATCTCCGCCAGCTGTTCGATTCTCTGCGAGGACTCCAACATTGCCTCGGCGGAAAGATCGTCCAAAGTAACCAGATCCACTGTGGCAGAAATTTGTCAAATTTCTATGTGATATTACGAACATCAAAACTTTTTTGAACTTACGGTAATAATCGGACGGGTTCTTATACGACGGGCAAGGATAATCGACTAAAGCGAAGTATGGCAACATATCCCTCCTCCTCCCGCTGAACATCGTCCTTCCAGCGGATATCAATAGTATCCTGGAAAGCATCGTGAAGATTTCGTAAGTAGGCGGGTGCATCGTTAATATAACTATCCTGCCCAGGGCGTTCCCCGCACCTCCGTTGGCCCACTGTTTCAAGTATTCTACGAGGAAAAATGTGTCGAAGATGTCCATGCCCCGAGTCGGTTGGTCTAGTACTACTATGTCCGTATCTAAGAGCAGGTGACATGCTACGTTCAGTCTTCTTCTTTCGGAAATCGTCATAGATGAGACCCTGGTGTTCCGCACTTGTTCCAAACCCAGGTCTTCGATGAGAACATTTATCTAAAACAGAATAGAAACAAATAAAATTAGTAAAAAATATCGGGTGTTGTGAATACAGTATCGTGTGTTTGTCGGACGGGTCAATTTTGTCCTGTTTGCACATGATGTTAGCAAGGAACTTTCATTTTGACACGTAGTAGCTGTATATTATATACAACCAGACAATTTATGGTTATTAATGATACTAGTTCGATATGAACACTATAATGAAACACGTGTAACATTAAATCAAGGGGCGTTAGCCGAGTGATTTAATTACACAAGTTTCATTTACAAAAATCATATCGAACGTGTACCATTCAAAATTGTTACCATAAGTTGTAATTGATTAAATCTGTTTAAGAAATTACATCAAAATTGTAATTTCCCAAATTTTCTGCTTCTATTTTATTTTAAAATTGCTTTAAAAGTAAGTTAGTAATTGTATATGTAGTCCAGACGGTATCTGTTTCAAAAAGCCATATTTGGGTGAATCGTATATCCACAGAGATTGCAGGCTTTTTAGCTTTCAAATATCACTAGAAATGAAAATTTTGCTATATGCGCATAAAGAAAAACGTGGGCTTAACTTTTGGCGGCACAATATGTTAAAAAAATTCAAAAAATGTCACATATTCCTATTTAATTATGTATCTTTTCAAGAGTTGATTTTTGGCGAAAATGGAAGAGGAAAAAAATGTTTGTAATTACATTTTTTTATAAAACATGAGTAGTTACAAATCAAATGAATCATGATTATTATGGTAAAAATAAAATAAAATCGCAAAAATGGGGTTAAAAAACAATACTTTTTAGGGAATTTTTTTGGGGGTATTTAAATTGGGTATAGGACCTTTATACTTGGCTCAAGAAAACTTCATGTTATGTAGAATCTTCACTCCAAATTTCATCAAAATCGGTTCTATAGATTTTGCACAATAATTTTGCAATCCAGATTTTGAAAAATAAATTGCAAATTTTCAAATTTTTGCATAGTAAAAACCAGGGCCCTTAGATACTTGAAAATTTAATCACATATAGAAGGGCTCTCAAGCTTTCAAACGCTTTTTGAAAAATTCGAATTCGTCAATTAGGAGAGCTCTGGCGCATGTTTAAACATTGGTCGAATTTTTGTACTTATTATTATTTTTGTCTATTTAATGAAGGGGTTGTTAATTTCAATAGATTACCAGTAAAGTTAAAAAGATGCCAGTCACTTGTTGCATTTAAAAGAGAGCTTGTTAAATACATAAAAGTAAATAATATGTGTTAATTGATCCTTAGTTTGCCTATTCTCTTACTGTGTGCTTGTATTTATATGTTTAAATTTAAATTGATTTGTATATTAGGATATCCTATTTAATAAATTATTATTATTA